CTATAGTCTCAATAAACTGGAAGAAGGATCCCAGCATCCCATTCTCACAGGATCATTCCAGTTAGAAAGGCTCTCATTGAATGAATGAATAATAATTTATTATTTCATCCAATATTTTTTTAAAGATTTTATTTATTTATTTGAGAGAGAGAAAAGGAGAGACAGAGTACAACAAGCAGGGAGAGGGAGAAGCAGGCTCCCCGCAGAGCAGGGAGCCGGATACAGGGCTCGATCCCAGGACCTTGGGATCATGACCTGAGCCGAAGGCAAATGCTTAACTGACTGAGCCACCCAGGTGCCCCTCATCTAACATTTTTAAGCACATAGTATTTTACAGACACTTTGGGGAGGGGGGGCGGGGGCTTGGGGTACTAGTGCAATTCTAATATCTACATGGTTATCAGTAAGCCCACTTTCCTAAAAATCCTCATGTATGTCTTATTTATACGATTTTTCCCCCAAATCACAACTATGAAAAAAGTAGGTTGGTGATATTATGTAACATTAATGGCCCTAATTTTTTACCCTTCCTGTATTCACATCCTTTGACATATGACTTTCCCATCTCTCCTATGGCCATGTGAGTCGTTCAGTGGAATGTCAACTGGTGTGTTGGGACCAAAGGCTGGAAAGGCACCTGCCTGTTTGGGATGGCTCTCTTGTACTAAGAGTAAGTGCATTTTAAATTTTAATAGATTTTTTTTCAAATTAGACCACAGAGTTGTACTATTTCTTCATGTTGTTCTCATTAATAATAAAGTCCTCCAAATAATCCCATGAGGTAGTCACTATTATTATCCATATTTTACAGGTGAGGAAACTGAGGTACAGAGAAATTAGGTGACTGACTTGGCCAACGACATGGAGCTAATAAGTGGTGGTGTCAGGACTCAAATGCAGGCCCACTTTCTTAACCCTTTCACTTGCCTCTCCCTTGTACTGCCTTGTGCAACCATCACCACAATCCACATTTTCATCCTGCCTAAATGAAACGCTATGCCCATTAAACATCAAGTCAACATACCCCCTTCTCCCAGCCTTTGGAAACCACCATTCTACTTTCTGTTTGACTAATATAGATACCTCATATAAGTAGAATCATACAATATTTGTCCTTCTATGATTGGCTTGTTTTACTTAGCATAATGTCCTCAAGTTTCATCTATGTTGTAGAATATGTCGGAATTTCCTTCCTTTTTAAGACTGAAGAATTTTCCATTGTATGTATATGCCACATTTTGTTTATCCATTTATCTAGTAATGGACGTGGTTTGTATCTACCTTTTAGTTATTGTGAATAATGCTGCTATAAACATGGGTGTACAAATATCTGCACCTGTCCTTGCTTTCATTGATTCAGAGTATATACCCAGAAGTTAAATCACTGGGTCATATGATAATTCTATGTTTATGTTTTGAGGAATTGCCATGATATTTTCCACAGTGGCTCCACCATTGTGCATTCCCATCAACAATGCACAAAGTTTCCAATTTTTCCACATCCCTGCTAACACTTATTTTTTTGTTTTTTTTAATCAAAATTCTAATGTCTTCTCTCAGCTCAGAAAAAAATATTCTTCTATTATCACCTTGATTATATCATTCCTTCTAATCTCTCTAGTCTCTCCTTATAGATGTTTTACCGGGTAGATACTGGGATTTCTGAAGGTCTTGCATGTCTTGTGAGTTTTTGTGCCTCATATACTGAACGACATCCTTCCAAGTTTCACAATTTTCATCTCTTTTCACATTATATTCTGAGGAAACTTCTTGGCTTGATCTTCCATAAAACTAATTTGATTTTCAAACACACCTATTCTATTATTCAATTTTTCAACTGAAATTTTTAGGTAATTTGTGTGATTTACTTCAGCAGTTGGGGAGTATGAATTTAGTCACATCATTTACGTTTTTCAATTGCCCTTTAGCTGACAACTAACCCTTTCTTGAGATAGTCCTTCTTCTCCCTAAATTTTACAGGACTCCAAAAAGTTTGCCCCAGTTCTCAACCAGCTGATAGAGAGAACTTGAGTGTGATGAGTCTAATATGACCACTTTTGTCATTGACCATAGGGATGCTTTTGAAAACTATTATAACACCTTGTCCATCACTGTAGTTTTGCCTGAAGAGGTACAGGCCCTTGCACAAGTTTCTCTGATGCCCTAGGTCTAAACTGCAAGGATATAGCTCTTTCAGCTCATATGCAAGCTTAACAATTATTTTCTACCATCACCAATCTGCCAAGGTGGTTGCGTTCACAGGTATTTGTTGTTGTGGCTGCATGATATCCCATACCCAACCCTCTCCAAGTTAACCTTTCACTTTAATGTTGACCCTTGCACACTTGTCCAGATTCTACCTAACCCCATGGTGAGTTCCTCCCTGAGAAACTTGATGTCTCTTATGCCTCTGGACTTTTCACAGACCTAGTCAGCCAGAGAAGTACTAAAGACATTAAACCTCAAAAGGGAAAGAGTAGACCTTTCCTCTTGGGTAATTTCTTTTTCCTTATGCAAACATTCCCATCTCCTTTCCAGTAACCAACTCAGCATTCCAAAGTCAGATTAAAGGCAGCTTTTGTCAGCCAAAGAAGGTCATATTATCCCTTTTCACCTGGGCAATGGGTTAATTGTGTTCTTTCAAGTGACACTTTTCTGAATGAAAATTAGTTCCAGAGTGACTGGTCTTATCTATATATATGAAGAAGCTTTGGGGAATTAAGAACTTTACATTCTATATCATCAGTTGACCCGTTACATTTATTTCAACAATCATGTAGAGGTTTTCCAATTTCTATAAATTCTCTCATATACTTTACTTTTTCTTAGCAGTGTATTCTAGTTGTATGAATATAGTGTCCCCTCAAATCTCTTTGAAAATACTAAATTGTTTTAATAATCTTTTCTATATTTCTCCAGCACTTCAATTTCTTAAAGAATCATTTTGATTTATTAAAGTTGGTAACTCATTTTTATGCTGTTATTTTTCCTTAAATATCTGGAAACTCAACTATTTATATGTGACAGTTTAGGAGAACTGATATATATGGCCAATGTGAAAGTCACAGTTCCCTTGATAATGAATTTGATTGCAAAGGACAGAAGCCATGGCTATGATGAGTGAGCTGTGATCTGTCATCAGAGATTCCTCTCTGTTAGGGTAGGTAGGAGTTTGCTGTCAGGATGTGGAAAGGTTTCCCCTATTGGCAGCTGATATCACATGGGAGTACCACCCAACTTCTCTTTTTAGCTCCGATACTCACTATAAATGTTCCTGCTTACCCCTAATGACAAAATCCATCCACCCCTTTATTGGTTTTCAAAATATTTGTGCCAGGTCTTCTAGAGCTGGGAATGTATGCATTTTCCAGGTACTTGGAATGTCCTAGTTTTACTGGTCTTCCTACTAAGTATCCAATAGAAGATTCCTGCTGCTAGCTCCTAATGATTATAATCTTGGGGTTTTTCCAAAGTTCTGTTCAAACTAAACAAAAACAAAACTCCCTTCTTCCTCCATTACCATCCTCTTTCATTTGTATTAGCTGCAGTTATCAGTTCTATCTGGTTACTCCATCGATCCAAACCCATTTGCTTTATATCTTCCAGAAATTTGTTGCTTCTGCTAATATCAGCCTTCATATTTCCTAGTACTGTTACATTGTTTTTCTTAATTTTATATTTATTCACTCATTCCAGTGGACCGTCGGGGACGGAAAAGAAAATCTGTGTGCTTAGTCATCCAGAAGGCACTTAGCTCCGAAATGACCTTTTCTCTTACTTTTCTTTTCCCTTTTTTCTTAATTATTTGTATTTCATTGCTTTTTATTTCATTTCTTTTTATTCAAATGGCTTTTAAGAAGTAGGATAGTGACAAGAGCACTGGTATAGGAGTTATGATTCCTTTATTCTAATCATGCTTTTGCCATTATTAAACAGGGCCTGGCTCATGGTAGGCGCTCAATAAGTATTTTGGAACAAATGAATGAATGAAGTAAATTACAATCCAGACTTCGGCCTCTGTAAGTAACAGCAAGTTATGATTCTTCTTGGGCTGGATAGAAAACATTTATCATCACTTAAAGGGAGGCACCAAGAAGAGAGAGGGTCTCAGCATGTGAGCAGAAATGCAGCAATATGTGATCACATAAGGGGCAAGCTAAGACAAAAAACTGTGATCAAAAACCTAATAGGAAACCTTTGACATCAGAGTCTCACGGAAGTTCAAAGCAATCATAATTAGGCTTAACAACTGATTCTCAGGGGACTATAGAACTGTGATCAGGCCAGAGGGCCACTAAGCACTGAATTAACCAAGAGAGAGATAAAAACACAGTCTGCCTTTGAAAGAACCTATATTAACACCGTCTCCCATTTTCTAGACCCACTTCATAAAAACTAATATAGGTAAAATCCTCTGGGGCCAAGGGCCTGACAACCATGCCCTGAGAAATTCCCCAATATCCTCCAACCTGACTTAAATGCTTCCACCGGACCATCCAATGGCAATGAGGTTTCCAAGTCAGCTGGTGAGTTTCAAACACACATACAACTGAGGTAATTCTCTACCATATGCAGTCATCCAAAACAATTCATTAGCAATGATATTGCTTGGCATAACGAAAAGTCATAATCATGAAAAATGTCTTCAGTGGGTTCTTTACATTTTGAATCACCTTATTACTATGAAAACTATTTTATTATTCTATATCTGAGAATCCTAAGGAAACACAAGAGTTTGCAAATTACATATCTGTCTGATATGCTTAGTTCAGTGGTCTTCAAACACAATCACCTGGGGGGTTTGTTAAAGCACGCTGGTGGGTCTCCCCCCCAGAATTTCTGATTTGGAGCTGGAAGATAGGACCCACCACTCATGACAGGGAGATGATCTCATGACTTATACAATTGAGCCTAGTGTGGCATCCACCTAAGCCACATCCTCGGGTATATATATCTACTGGGATGTTTTTAGCTGCAAGTATCAAAAAAACCTCACTCCACTTGAGGTACATCCCCATGGGCTTTTCTTCTATAGACCTACATCATTGGAAATGCCTCAAAGAGTAAATACGTGGTTTGCTTTCCTCGCAGAATTATGTTTAAATCTGTGAGAAAGAACTATAAGACAGGGCTACTAAAACTATTTTAAGACTTAATAGTTGAGGAGGGGGAAAGATGGCGGAGGAGTAGGGGACCCTATTTCAACTGGTGCCCGGAATTGAGCTGGATATCTACCAGACCACTCTGAGCACCCACAAAACCAGCCTGAGATGTAAGAAGATCTGGATCTCTACAAACAGAATATCGCAGGCGGTTGGTTTTGAGGTACGAAGTGGAGAGCCGTGATTCTGCGGGCAGATATCGGAGGATAAACAGCAGTGGGAGGGAGCCTGGACGTGGGAATCCTACACCACCGGGGAGTGACAGCCTCGAGCGCTGTGGACGGGGCACAGACTCGCAGACCAGTAGCATCGGGAAAGGACTTTAGGGCAGCCCCTGGGGTGGAAAACCAGACCAGCGGGGTCGCACGCACGCAAACTGCAGCCTCCGAGACGGAAAGCCGGTGCGCCGGGGTCCCACCGGTGAACTGCAACCCCCAGGGTGGAAACCCTGAGCAGTGGAGTTGCGCGCACGCGAACTGCAGTCCCCGGGACAGAACCCAGAGCAGCGGAGTCGTGCGCACACGAACTGGGAGCAGCTGGGCTTTTAGAAGCACAAAGGGCAGAGACGTGCCCCCACCTGGAGGCAGGACTGGGAGAGCTACGGAGGGGTGCACAACCCAGGATGCTGCAGTTTATAGCAGCAAGGACAGAAACGGAGACAGCGTGGCCTGGAGAGCTCACTGAAGAACAGACTG